CGTCGGCGGAGCCCCCTGGCAGCGCCGCGCGCGGCCGCGCGGAGCGAGCGGAGCGCGACCACAAGGGCAGGCGAGGGGGAGGAGGAAGACGCTGCATTTTCATTTCAAACCCAATTAGCGAGTTTGCAGCAGACCAGGGGAGAGCGCGCCACAAGCTCCGCATCGCCTCCTGCGCTGCCTCTGCCAATGCCCGGCATTCCCACTGGGAAGGGCTGCCAGGATCCACACTTGGAGCAGGAGACGAGGCCCTGCTTGGTTCCCTCTCTGCTCTCCATCCATCTCCAGCCCCTGCATCCTGTGGGCTCCCGGCAAGCCCGCTCCACACCTGGAATCCAACTGCCAGCAGCTCCAAGTGCTTAGTGGCCACCTCCTAGCCCAAGGATGCTTGCTGCTAGCCACGAAGTCTCTGGCTACGTATCCGCACCGGATATCGCCCTTGCTCGGGGCTGCAGGGGAGAAGCTGCCTCTCGTGGGGCATTCCGACCTCTCCGGAGCAGGAGGCCAAGACTCGGCTCTCTGCACCTTCGGGAAGGCAAGCGCCTGCTCCCCCAGGAGCCATGAAGGCTAGGTCTGCTCCAAGGAAAGCTCCCAAATTTATGGTGCTTCGCTCTCGAATTTAGCGATGTTTCACTCCCAAATTCAGGGATACTTCGCTCCCAAATTTAGGGACGCTTAATTCCCAAGGGACACACTCACACGGGCCTGGTCCGGCCTGTCGCATCGCTCACGGTGTGCCCAGCGGCTTCACCCTGCACCAGTCCCGGCTCCCTTGAGCCCCAGGCCAAGCCGGACGCCCCGGCGCAGGCCAGTGCCCCGCGCGCTCCGTGGGTTCGCGCCAGCCGCTGCCAGCACCACCTCCGGCCGCACAACCGACGGGAAGCGGCTCTGCCTTGTCGGCATGGGGACCGCTCAGTGCTCCCCTCCACGGTGGCCCCACACGGGGAAAGGGCTTTTGCTGCTCCCCTTTTTTTAAAATAACACACATATATATTATTAAATAAACATTATTAAACAAAGCAGAGGTAGAAGATGCTGCCGCCTCAGCACCGCGGCGCGGGGGGCTTTGGGGCCAGGCCCAGGCCCCGACCACGCCAGCGATGCTGCTCGCTTGCTCGCCGAGCTGCGGCTCCGCCAA